GGCATTAAAAAGGTTGAGAACCACTGTTCTAGTACATTGGCACGGCAGTTAGTTAGCGGCGTAAGGGCTCACCCATGCTCATCTTGATTGGCAAATTTTCCCGGCTCGCGGCTTCTACTAAGTGTCTTCTAACTTCCATCAAACTTTCCTTCTGTTTTAGATTCATTAAGGACTCCCACAGAGCTCTAGCAGCTGGTTCTCTGTTAACAAAAGGGAAAATGTCCAAGTTTACATTAGCATCTGTTAAAAAATCAAACAGGTTTTTCCTAACTTAAGTGATTTCCATATTGCGGAATGCCTATGTATTTTAAAGTACAGAAATATTGTTCAGCACAGTACAAAGTACAGAGAAGAGCAACAAAGATGATTAGGGGACTGGAGGCTAAAACATATAAGGAACGGTTGCTGGAATTGTGTATGTCTAGTTTAATGAAGAGAAGGACGAGGGGGGACATGATAGCAGTGTTCCAGTATCTCAGGGGCTGCCCCAAAGAAGAGGGAGTCAAGCTATTCTCCAAAGCGCCCAAAGGCAGGACAAGAAGCAACGGATGGAAACTGATCAAGGAGAAAAGCAACCTAGAACTAAGGAGAAACTTCCTGACAGAACAATTAATCAGTGGAACAACCTGCCTCCAGAAGCGGTGAATGCTCCAACACTGGAAGTTTTTAAGAAGAGACTGGACAGCCATTTGTCCGAAATGGTATAGGGCAGGGGTAGGCAACTTTGGCTCTTTTATGACTCGTGGACTTCAACTCCCAGAATTCCTGAGCCAGCATGGCTCAGCTTGGAAACTTCTCCCTTTCCCCTCAGCAATGCTGGCTCAGGAATTCTGGGAGTTGAAGTCCACAAGTCATAAAAGAGCCAAGGTTGCCTACCCCTGGTATAGGGCTTCCTGCCTGAGCAGGGGGTTGGACTAGATGACCTCCAAGGTCCCTTCCAACTTTATTATTTTATTTTATTTTATTTTATTTTATTTATTATATTATTATATTATATTATATTATATTATATTAATTATATTATATTATATTATAATATAATATAATATAATATAATATAATAATATAATATAATATAATATAATATAATATAATATAATATAATATAATATAATATAATATAATATAATATAATATAATATAATATAATATAATATAATAAATATTATATTATATTATATTATTATAATATTATATTATATTATTATTATATTATATTATATTATATTATATTTTATATTATATTATATTATATTATAATATAATATAATATAACATAACATAACATAACATAACATAACATAACATAATATAACATAACATAACATAACATTACATTACATTACATTATATTATATTATAAACTTTTAAAACAATGGCTGCCCTGGTTTTTTTTGGGTAAGAGACTAGGAACCGATAACATATCTATAAACATGGTTTTACTACAAACTGAGGGTTTAGTAACAGCAACTGAAGTCAAAGGTCAGGTTGAAAACCAATAATTTTGATTTACTATCCCTGCTCTATTTACCACTTAAAGACTGTTTTCCTAATTTACACTGAGCCAAAATTTCTAGCAATGTTCTTAAGGATTTTGATTTGAAAAATGAAAATATGCCGGACCGCAATTACCACACATATGTGCTGCCTTGAGCATAAACATCACATTGTGAGGATTAGAGCCAGGGTTTTTCTAGGGCACCTTTTTTTGGAAGAGTGAAAAAGCAAATAAAAACTTTCTGGGAAACATTTGGCTTTTATATATGCAATGGATTTTTTTTTAAAAAAAACCTAATTTCCCTCTTGCTTGTTTTCATTTTTCAAAGACGTGAACCGTCCTGTGAAAATGGACTTGGAAAGGGATCCCAGTCAGTCTTGCTTACAAAAGGAGTTGTGCATGTTCACACTCAACTTTTTGACTCAACAACAAATATCAGTCCTGTTTGAATAAATCGTGTGTGATATACCTCGTTGTTATTGGTGTTTTTTTTTAAAAAAAGGCTTATATAGTAATAACACAATTTACTTTTAGACAGATGAACAGACTACAATTGCATCCATCTCTAATGCAATCTCAAATTTATTCCAAAACACCACATAATTATCTTTGCAACTTCTTCATTTTAAAAAAGAATATTTGAAAAGCAAATAAATCCAGCAAGGAATACTAATTTCATTTACACTGACCGTTCTGAAGTGAATGGTATTACCGTAGTGACTTTGTTTTACAGTAACTCTTAATAAAGCAACTAGGGTGACTTCTATGTGCTTTAGGTCAGGGGTCCCCAACCCCTGGTCCGTGGACCAGTATCGGTCCGTGGCATGCCAACAACCGGTCCGCACAAACAAGCAAAGCCCCATCCGCGGCATGTAGGCAGCACACAAAACCACGCACTCTCCGGTCCGTGGGAAAACTTTTCTCCACGCAATCGGTCCCTGGTGCCCAAAAGGTTGGGGACCTCTGCTTTAGGTAACTTGTTAAGATAGCAATTCTGTATACAGCAATGGGGAATAAACTTTGTGAACCCCAGAAAGACAGTTCTGAATTAACCGCTATTTGCAGCAATTCTTCTGTGTTAATTGTAAGGTCTATGGTCAAGCTTTGGTACTTTCCGTTTAATTTTAGTTAGCTATTTTTATCAATGAGTTAAAGGCTTTGTCAATTCCTGGGCACAAAATCCCTGCTATTTTGTGGCAACAGAATTTATGCACCAAGTTTACATGCAGACATGCAAGCATCTTTGTTTTCCAACAAACAAGAAACAGTCTGATGGAACATATCACTTGAATTTAACCCTAAATGTCTCAGAATGCTCCATATGTACTACTGGTATGATGATGATGATGATGATGATGATGATGATGATGATGATGATCATCATCATCATCATCATCATCATCATCATCATCATCATCATCATCATCATAAAGTTGGGAGGGACCTTGGAGGTCATCGAGTCTAACCCCCTGTTCAGGCAGGAAACCCTACACCATTTCAGACAAATGGCTGTCCAGTCTCTTCTTAAAAATTTCCAGTGTTGGAGCATTCACAGCTTCTGGAGGCAGGTTGTTCCACTGGTTAATTGTTCTAACTGTCAGGAAGATTCTTCTCAGTTCCAGGTTGCTTCTCTCCTTGATTAGTTTCCATCCATTGCTTCTTGTCCTGCCTTCAGGTGCTTTGAAGAATAGCTTGACTCCCTCTTCTTTGTGGCAGTCCCTGAGATATTGGAACACTGCTATCATGTCCCCCCTCGTCCTTCTCTTCATTAAACTAGACATACCCAATTCCAGCAGCCGTTCCTTATATGTTTTAGCCTCCAGTCCCCTAATCATCTTTGTTGCTCTTCTCTGTACTCTTTCTAGAGTCTCAACATCTTTTTTACATCGTGGTGACCAAAACTGGATGCAGTATTCNCATTAAACTAGACATACCCAATTCCAGCAACCGTTCCTTATATGTTTTAGCCTCCAGTCCCCTAATCATCTTTGTTGCTCTTCTCTGTACTCTTTCTAGAGTCTCAACATCTTTTTTACATCGTGGTGACCAAAACTGGATGCAGTATTCCAAGTGTGGCCTTACCAAGGCATTGTAAAGTGGTATTAATACTTTACGTCATCTTGATTCTATCCCTCTGTTAATGCAGCCCAGCACTGTGTTGGCCTTTTTATTACTTCAAAAGACCCAGAGGCTGTGCATCTGTGTTCTGATTGACTTTACTAGAGCAAATTGACTGGGTTTGGGCTATAAAAGAATTCTGGAGGATATCAGCCTGGGGGAAATTTTCAAAGGAAAATTCTGAAAAGATCATTTTTCAGAATATTTGCCAAGTTCTGAGGTCATTTAACAAAGTAAAGGGAATTCAGGCCAGGAACATTTTTAGCAAATGATAGTGAGTAGTTCCCAAAGATTTTAAGGATGTTTTCTGAAGATTACAATATGTTACATCAACGTTTGGTTTTGTGCTTTATTTCAAATGATGTCCCTTGCCAGCATAAATTCTGTTTCAAGTAGCATCTTAAATAGAATTTATCCTGATCTGAACTAAATGCCAACTGGAGTTCGCTTGGAAATTCACAGGAAACTTATGATAAACTGAAACTGTTTTACTGAAAAATGGAGTTATGTGCTGAACAGTGATTATGGATTTAATTAAATGTCAAACAAAATGGTTCTTGGGAAATATGTTTATATCCCTGTGAAATGAACTTTCCCAAAAGTAGTAGTACATATGTGACTTCTGGCATAGGCTGGTCATATTTACAGATTCACACAATAAACCTATGTCTTAGTCAAAGTAATAAGAAAGGGATCGTGATAAGAAAATGCCAAAATATAGTACTGTCTCTGCATATACATTTCCAATATTCTGTCATTCTCCATTGCAGCCAAGAAACAAATAGCAGACAGGCTTTTCCACTCAAGAAGAGATTTGATTCTTAATTAATCTAGCAAAGCAAGGAATGAAATTGGTTCACATCAAGCATCCAAAGTGGCAAATATAGGCTTTTAATTTCACCAATCAAAGCAAATGATTGCTTTTTATTTCTTTGGAACTGTACTGAAATATGGGTAACATTTTTATTGCATAAAATCGTTAGAAGAAAAACAAGTATATACATTACATAAACTTATTACCAATAATTATTAAAGAAAAATACATACATTAAAAAGCTAACAAAACATGCATATTTACTCTCCCCCTCCTATTTATCTCTTGAAAATATTCAAATTCAAAAGATATGATCAAGTCCTCTTCCTTGTCTGTTTTTACAAACAAACGGCTGACACTTAACAAATGTAAGTAATTCACTGTTGCAAATCAAGTGTTTCCCAATGTCATAAACAGCCACTCCTAAGTACAAAATATCCACCATTCTTGATGGCTTGGTAGATTCATAATGCTTGTGTATATTGCACAGGATGAATATCCTTAATCACAATTATTCTTATTGTAAGGCAAAAATACCGAATTGCTGACAGAGAAGAAAAATCATTTCCAGTTATTATTAGACAACTGGATGATGCAATGAGATGAATCTGAAAAGTAACACACTGAAGGTAATAGTGTTTGATAGATTTAAGTCAAGAGTTAAAAATGGAGTAAAAATTGTACATTATTCATAAGTGAAAAAATGGATGAGGTGATCCGGACGGCCTGACTGAACTATATATCTCCAGCTCAAATGATATAGCTGTATA